CCAGTGAGTTATTGCTTCTCATTATTCCCAGTGAGTTATTGCTTTTCATTATGTCCAGTGAGTTATTGCTTCTCATTATTCCCAGTGAGTTATTGCTTCTCATTATTCCCAGTGAGTTATTGCTTCTTATTATTCCCAGTGAGTTATTGCTTCTCATTATTCCCAATGAGTTATTGCTTCTCATTATGCCCAGTGAGTTATTGCTTCTCATTATGCCCAGTGAGTTATTGCTTCTCATTATGCACTGGGAATAATGAGAAGCAATAACTCACTGGGAGTTATTGCTTCTCATTATTCCCAGTGAGTTATTGCTTCTTATTATTCCCAGTGAGTTATTGCTTCTCATTATTCCCAGTGAGCAAATATATCATCATTCCATGGATGACTGGGCAGTGGTGTAAAATAGGGACAAGAACATTAGTGTTAAAATTTTTGACAGCAGCGCTGGTTCAGTTATCTGTTGCGATTATGGAGAATAATCCTGACGTCCAATTCTCCTCTGTCTCACAAGGACGGCCTTCTCCTTCGGACATCCACTGTTCTTCATGGAGTTGCAAAATATGTCTCTATGTGCTTCCAGCATAGACAGACAGGCATGCACAGATGCGTGTGAATGTGGTGTCATTCTGTCCACAGAGAATTTTGATGACTGGTGCACAAACCCTTTTACCCTGGAAGTGTTCATGTTTGAGGAGCTAGATAATGAATGTAATGATTTTTCTGATAGCTACTAACCGAAGAGTATGTATGTTGGACATTCAGCCTTATCTTAAGGTATTCTGATTTCTCTTCTGTTGGTCACAAATCAATTAACGAAAATAATGCTTTAAAAAAAGTATTGCTTACCAGCGTGTTTTCTGCATAACTATGAATTATGACTATGATATTGGTTAACCGATGCTGCCAGACAGCCAATTATACTTCATTAGTTAAAAATCATGTGACAGATATTTTAGCTTGATATTTCCCACCGTTTTATAGCACAGTCAATGTAGTAAATGTTTTTAAACGTTTTTATTTACCCATGTTTGCTATATAAGACCTATTACCTGTTCACTTGCATCATTTTCATGCTAAAGAAAATGATAAAATCACCAAAACAAGTCAGTATATGAAATCTGAATTGTTCAAAGATGCAAAATTGCCAACTGACATTGTCAGCCAAAAAATGAATGTTCTCAGCTTTTAACAGTTTGGAAGAATAAGAGTATGCCTTGGGAATCCTCAGACTCTAAGCTTTAAGTTGGTACATAATTACCTTTAGTGTATCGCCTGTTTAGGGTAATCAAAACTTTCTGCTATAACAGTTCTGGAAAAGCATGATGGAAACGAATAGCGGGGGTAACTTTTAAATTTTGTTTTATGTAGTGTTTGAATTTTAACTTATGTCATGAAATGCATTAAATTGGGCGCGAGTTGACCTTATAGTAGAGCTTTGGATTTCGGTGCTGGTAAATTGGATTTAATCCTTGCGATACAACAAAATATTCCCCCAACTTTAAGCTGTAAGTGCGTTATAACAGTGACTGTCAAATTCTTAGTGTGGATGGTGGATAGTAAGATGCTGCTGACTGGAGCATTTTCTCTGATCGGTAGTTGAAAATTAGGGACGGCCATAGCTACAGAATACAAATGTCTTAATTTACTAAGATTATTATGTGTACGTAAAATTTTTAAATATGAATACAAAGATTATGTCTCACCCAACACATTTGTGATTTGTTTTCTTAGTTCACAATGATTCTGTTGTTTTCAATCTGAACCTGTGTTGTTGCCATTCAAACACTATATTTTTTCCAGAAGTTATATTGTTTTTAACAAAGGTTTATCACAGTCAACCATACCAAGTTTGTCAACAAACTAATATTTACACAACAAAGACAACACGATTTTATAGAAGAATCTGTTGAACTTAGAGTAGAATGAAGTCGGTGCTGTGTTCAAATTACGCTATTAGGGTTGCTTGATAATAATATATGCATAATAGTAAAATTTAGGCCATGTCCCATCAGGCTCCTTTACTGCCATATAAGTTTGGAATGTTCTAATGCATGGGGTTGCCTCCCTTATTATAGCATTCCTTAGAGGTAGTGATTGTGTTTTTCCATTTTCAAATGTAAATTTAATGTTTTTATTTAAAAATTTTTGAAATTTTGAAATACGCAGACAATCCGTATAACAGGAAAGTAATTTAGATATAATTGTGAAATCGTTTTACAGCCGGAAGACTGTGTGAATGGAAAATTCCAGTTAGCCAAGAGGAACCGCCAGAATCATACTCTACGTTTGCTGAATTTCAACAGACATTGAAACTGGATTGTGCTCAAGGAGAGCCAGCAGTCCTGAAATGGACTCCAAACGAGAGAACACCAAATCTCGTATATTACCAGGTAAAAAATCAAAATTTTCGTTCTAAACAAGTATTACTTCAATATTAAACAGGCTAAAAAGTATTTCAAATTAATTATCTTTCACTGTCCAGCATGTAAGCCAATAATCTCTAGAAACATGATAGAAGCAATAAACTTGGCATACTTGAACATTTAAATAAGGGAAAATCAGGTCAAGGCAGCATCCAAGCTGTCTAAGTCGTAATTAAATCCGAGATAGTATGACTAGCGATTACATTTTTAGCTGCAGTTTAGTGGTAGCTATCAATTCCTATATTTCCCTAAATCCTCAAGTATATTACATGTAAAATGATTTAATATGAAGTCAATAAACCTGTTTAAAACAAATAAAAATGGTTTAAGAAATATTTCGTTTAAAAAATTTAAAATGGCTCATATAATGTCAAAAAATCATAGCCATTCAAATAATCAATGTGAATCAGAATGAACAGATTCTGTAATAAACTTTGGCATCATATCTATAGTATCCAATACCAAAGTATGCAATAATACGCCCTGGAACAGTAGTGATTAATCCTGTTGGCAGCTTTCTGTATATAATCAGAGAACAGTACAATTAAGAATTGCTTTTCAGAATTTATACAGTCATCAGCATGATGTTTTTCAGCCGCAGTGGATGAGGTCTTTACAAGATTTCAATACTTTCGAAAGAGCTATGTTCTTTTGTGTCCAGCTGTCATCTGTATGTTGCCATCCTCAATCTGCTGGATTTGGTAACTCCGCAATAGTGACAAGTGACTATCTCCAGACATGACCTGCTTTGTAGGCAGTACGTTTCACATGTTCATAAAATGCAGCTTAAGTGAGCAAATACGGTTTGATGCGCTTCATTCACTTAGTTTGATGAACAAGTACAACTGAACAGAAGTATCACGTATCATTCTATTTTTGCAAAGTCTTCTGTAACAACGAGTTAAGATTGGGATTCTACAAAGCTTAGAGAAAGTGTCACCAAGCGAAATACATTCCATGTTTCATTGAAGACCTTTTACCTCTTTCAGACATAGCAATGTATGATATCACACTCAAAGAATTTATGGAAGAAAGGTAGTAACTTCAGCCTACTAAGGACCAAGAATACTGACAATACAATGTGCAGAAGTGAACCTGAAACTTCACCCTGTTACAAAAGGTATCCATAGTTCTTCAAAATCAAGCTTGCGTACTTTTCGCCACTAAAAGTACTACAACATCAGTATCCACAAATGGTATCAGTGTATTTATGTACTACTGCGTGAAGCATGTGTAGTATGAAGAATTAATTAAACAGGCGTTTGCTTCTTCGTAATTTTAGGGTGCCAACCCTGTTCCATCGATATCGGGAGAGCCGATTATGTCCTTCTATTGTATACTGATGTTAATTTTTCACATGAACAGTAACTATGTGCTCTGCCAAAAATGTAAAGAGCTCAGTTTTATTTTAATCTTGCTAAGGAAACTATGCCAATTCTTATGCTAGCAGTAACTTTCTTTCGAATCCCATGGCCCCATTTTACTCTAATGCTTTATTTTAAGCAATCTGAGAAGTATCTACTCCATACTATGTCAAAACTTCGTACTTCTTATATTGGTGACATAGTATGCGAAAGAAATACATTCTGTGGATATTATTCTAAGGTTTGATATATTCCTGGCTGCAATATATTTACAAGTTCGTCTATGAATATATTTGATCAAGATATTGGAGCAACTCTAACGTCTGAGCAATTTAAAGTTTCACAATAGAAGACAAAACTGGAGGACAAGCCTGTTTTCGTGTTTGAAAACCTTCGACAAACTGTCATCCATTGCCTTTTGCACAATCTATGAAAATAATTATTTAATGCAGACAACCGATGATGTATATTGGAGCGTAGATTCTGGCGTGGGGTTTCTAATCAGAGGAAGTTTGTTAAGAGGGACATTATTTGTGATAAGCTCTGACCATTGTTCAAATATTTCATGAATATAGGTATTGTACTGTGACTGGCCATCTTATAAACCGGGTGGGCAGATTCTGTAACAAATTCTGGCATCGTAACTTTATTATAAAGTGTCAACAACTCAGTACTTTCCATTAGGAATGGATTACTTATTTCTTCTATAGCTGCACTGAGGTTTATGTAAGTCGAATAATTTCATGTACAAGCAAACACCTGACTTCTATAATGCTGCTGCTATTTGTCGAGGAAATATCCAGTTTTATGGCTTCATTTCAATAAATCACCCTGTAATATAATAACTAGATTAAGTTGTGAAGTTTAAAAACCAACACTCATTTACTGATTATAACAGATATATTTTATGTTTTCTATTCTTTTACAGGAACATTTTGTGTACCTAAATGCTTGTAAAGATCATAATACCCTCAAAAACACATAACATAACTAATCACCATACTTTTAAATTTTATTTACCTGAAATAATTAATATTATTATTTAATCAATAACTCGATCTTTCAAGTATTCAATATCCACTCAGTATTATTTAGAAAACGTCAATGGGTCTAACGACTGTTATATGACTTTGAATCGCATATATATATATACACACACACACATATACATATAT